CAGTACTTTAATGGTTTTGTTTTTTATTTACGTATCTAATCAGTTGGGACCTTATTTTGATGTATGGAAGGACGGGACCGATTCCCACTTTATTTCCCCCAAATCTGTGTCTTAGGTGTGGTGGGAGTGTCGGTGTCCCGAGATGGCCTTGTCCATGGGGTTAGTCTCACCGACCTGCCTCGGAAGCGGTTCTGACACCTGCAGCTGCCTGTGCCCGAGCGTTTGCGCACGTTCATTGGTGCCGTGACAGTAGCTTCTTGATGTCATTTACAGGAAAACTAGTTATGTATTGACTCTCCTCCCAATTCCATGAGAGCAGAAGCCCTGTGAGAACACATCAACCGTGTCCTCCCCGGACTCAACACCAGGAGCCCAGGGCCCGTCTTCCGCACGTCCCGCACGGGCAGCAGGCTGTGTCGGAGGCGGGCCACTGGGGTATAGGCATGTGGGCGTGGCTGGGCCGGCCACACGGGCTCCTTGCTGAGCCCTGTTGACTTTGTACTTGGCCCCCACGAGGCCGGTGTGCCGCAGAGGCGGTTCCCCTCTTACAGACGAGGAGACTGCTGTGTCGCTCCCCCGAAGAGCCGTGTCTCGCCAGAGGAGGGTGCGTCTTACCGTCAGCCTTTCCCGTCAGAGCAGCCCGTCCCTGTGTTTGTGCCCGCGCTTTCTCTCCGGGACGCCCGCAGTCGTGGTGTCTGTACCTGAGGTTGCTGCCTTGAGGCTGGGGAAGCGACCCCCCTGGCCAGGAGGCCTCCTGTGCTCAGCATGGTCGGTGGGTTGGTTGTTGTAAGTATTGTTTTTAGGTTCCGGAGAATTGCTCCGAGCCTCGGGATGGGTGTGAACTGCTCACTGGGTCCCGAGGACACCCTGGGCCAGCCAGGCCTCCCAAGCCTTGGTGTTCCCGGCACCTGCCGGCGTGAGCTCGGGTGGGCACTCGGGCTGGGGCGACGTGCCCCAGAGTGTGTAGTTGCCGTCCCTTTGTCACGCGTCAGAAATGCTGCTGGACACCTCTCCCCCTCGGAGAGGCAGCTGTAGCATTGACTCCGGCGGGGGTGCTTCTGGAGGTCAGGGCACACCCAGGATCGTGGCTCTGGAAGGGACTGGGGCCCAGGTTTGCATACGGTACTTTTAACCCCCCCTACTGGACACCAGAGAGGCCGGCGTGATCGCACCCAGCCCCATTTTCCCGAGGCTGGTGTTTCTGCCGTCGTGGGTCACACAGAGCTTCTGCACGGAGAAGGCGACTGGAGGTTTGGTCTGCTTAAATCCGTCACGAGGATCAGAACCGGGGCCACCCATGCCCACGCTGCACTCGGGCCTGTTGGCCTTGACGGCACGTGCTCGTTGGCCTCTCTTCGCGTGGTTCAGGGCAGGCCCTGCCCCTGGGCCTCAGCGTCTCCCTCAGTGAAACGGCACAGCCGTAGCGCCTCACCCTCTAACCTCCGCCGGCACAGGAGTGAGGCCGACAGAGGTGAGGTGGGGGTAACCGTGAGCCAGAGCAGAGCAGACCTCGGGGGGCTCTCTGGGGCTCTATCTGGAGCAGGAGTTCCTAGGGGGTGTGAACTGGTGCCCCGGGTCGCTGGCCCCTGTGGCAGAGGCCTTGTCAGTGTGTCCTTAAGGAGAACCCAGTTCAGCAATGCCGTGGGGCCACCGTTGGCCTGACTGGGATTCCCGTCCGCCTGGAAGAGGTGTCCTTACCCAGAGGGGTGAGGGCGGCCTGTCCAGCGTTGAGCCCAGGGGATCCCGGTGTGGGGCCGTGGCAGGGGCTTGGTGCTAGGACTGGAGAGAGGTGAGGGCTTCAGGGGTTAGTGGATCGGACAGGCCACCTCTGTGTCCCCCTGGGCATCCTCTGACCCATCTCAGCCTGTTCTCCTGGGGTGTGTCCCCCACGGACCGTGGTGCCAGCGTTCAGGGGCGTCCCCTTTCACAGCTGTTGGCTCAGGCCCCGGGGACACTCTGATGGGCAGACACCAACCGCAGGGACCTGGGCGCAGGGGTCAGAGCCGGTGCCGGAGAGGGTGTGTCTGGGGTTTGCCGTAAGTGACTGAGGTGGGTGGGAGTGGGGGCAGCTGGAGCGCTCGTGGTTCTCCGCAGTGTCCCCCCCCCGCGTGTGTTTGAGAATCTCCGTTAACAAGGCTGGCACGGAGCCAGGTCCCCTGCCCCTGCCAGGACCTGTCTCTCTTCCTACAGTCCCGAGAGACACCCTCCAAGGTGGCCTCTGCTCCAGCTCCGACTGCGTCCAGGGACCCCGAGGTGCACCTGGGCAGCCGTCTTGCCTCGCCCGGTCTCGGGCTCTGGCTGCGTAGGCAGCCCTGACGCCCCAGATCCCACCTTCTCTGTGAAGCCTGTGCTTTCGCGGCTTCTCCTCAGGGCCCGTCCGCCTGGCCCACCGGCCCCTGCGCCCGCCCTCTTATCGGTCTCTTTCCAGGCTGTAGCCTCAGTGCAGAACGCGGACTTTGCCCAGTCCTTGGGGGTTTGGGCTTCTGGAACCCTTCGGATGCCCTGGGTGGGGGGGCCCGGCAGGGACACTGAGGTGAGCAGGGCTTGTGGCGCCTGTCCCGGTGCCTGCCGCCCGTGCCCAGTGTGGCAAGCATCTGTGTCCTTCCTGGGCGCGTGGGGCCCTCTGCCAGTGCTTCCTGGTGGCTTCTGTGGGACCTCACTGCCCACGCGCTCGGCCATCTCACAGGGCCCGTGTGTCTGGTTCCCGTTTCCCCGGTGCGTGGGGACGGGCTGCTGGGCGGAGGCTCCTGGGGCAGAGCAGGGTGGGGGCCCCGATGCAGCGTGGCCACGAGTCAGTCAGTCCTCCCTGGTCGTAGACTTGTTTTTATTTCCAAGTTATTTCAAATTATAGCAAGTTGTAGGAGTGCGGGGAAGGTGTCTCCCTGGGCCTTTGAGGGCGAGCTGCCTACATGCCCCGCCGTCAGATGCTTCCCTGGGAGGCCGCCCTCTTGCCTTCGCCTGTTGGATGTGCGGGTCACTTGGCCTCCGCTGCCCAGGCTCCTGCCCCAAACAGATGCCCCCTGACCCCACAGTGGGCACCGTCATTACCCCGTTTGTGGCTTGACATGGCAGTGGGACGTGTGGACCTCTCACCCCCCACCCTCAGAGGCCCCTGACGCCTGCACGAGGCTGCACAGATGGCCTCCCTGCCTCACATCAGGCTCGCGCCTGGCGGCCGGACCCCATGGTGGGTATGGTGCCGGGCGCAACACGGGTGGGGGCTGCTGGTTGGAGCAGTGTTGGTCCTGGGCGTCCACACCGTGCAGCCCCTCTGTTCGCCCTCTCACACCCACCCCATTCTGAGCTGCTGAGGGTGACTGACAAGTCACAGGGCCTCTGCTTCCCAGGGGAGTGAGGGGTCAGGGCGGTGAAGAGAAAAGTAGGTCAGCTCCAGCACGTCCGGGAGTTTCGACACAAGGCCACGGCGTGCAGGGTCTTAGTCTTGGAGAAGGGATTAAATTCTCCCGGGAGTCTCGGGCTACAGGGTTTGTGCACGTTCCTGAGGTGACAAGTCTGTCTGACAGGTGCACCTCCTTCCTCCAGACGGAGCTTGTTTCTGGACTGTTGTGGCAGTGGCGTCAGGGATCTGCTGTCGTAGCAGGAAAATCTGCGTGGAGTGGAGATAAATGGGGAGATGTGCGTGTCCCACAGCACCGGCCCCGTGTGGAACAGGCCCCGGGCTCCGCCGCGTTGTCCCTGGGGAGGCCTGTTGAGGCCGAGGCAGTGGAGCCAGCCTGGAGGCCGCTCTGTGTTTAGAGCAGGCCCGAGGCAGAGACCCTGGCTGCAGCGTGGGGCGTCGCCTGGCCCGGCGCCCTCCAGCCCACGTTCCCACACGCCGCAGCCGTGCCGTGGGGCAGAGAGCCGGCAGACCGCGTCCTCTCTGCTCCCGGAGCCTGGCAGTGGCGCTCTGCTGCTGCCCCCAGGTCAGGCAGCCCTCCCCTCCCTGGTCGGAAGAGTTTCAAAAGGGCCACAACGATCTCTCGGGCTTTGTGTCGTAAATCTACGGATCGTGTGGAGAGTTACCTGCTCTCCGCCCCACTGCTCACTCGAGGATGCGGAGGCGGAGGCTGAGGGGCTCGGTACCCAGTGAGAGGTCCCTCCTCCGGGGGGTGTCCTGTGGCCCGGGTGAAGTCCCGGCCCCGCCCATTTCCTGCCCTTAGAGAAGGGAGGGCCCGGAGAAGGGGAGTCCCAGCCCCGCGTGACGCGCCAGCCAGCACATCCTCGGGGCTACACGTGGCTTCCGGCGACACGGGCTGGCCATCTTCGTCTAGCTGGGAGTCCATGTCTGCTCAGCGTGGCACAGGCCCCAGCGGCGTCAGCTCTGCCACCACCCGCCGCCCCCGCACGTAGCTTTGGGGGCAGGGGCTCCTCTGTCTTGCCCCCATCCCGTCCACCTGCCGAGGAGGAGAGGGCCTCCCCGGGGTCAGCAAGACGGACCCGGGAAGCCTCGTGTCCTGCAGCCAGGGCCGTGTGTGATATCTGAGCTCTCTGCGAAGCTTCACCTGTGCCCATGTGGCTCAGGGTTTATTCCAGTCTTGTGTCTCCGGGACCCTGCAGGACTGTGGTCCCCAGGGTGCTGGCCCGATGGGCTCAGCTGTCACGCTCCCTTCCGGTCGCACTCATAGTTCTGTGAGCGTTCCTCTGAGACTGGGTTTTCTGTCCTGTGAAACGGGGCCAGTTCGTAGGGTTGTTGCCAGAGACGTGCCCTAAAGGGCAGCAGGTTTCTTCAGGCAGTTAGTGAAGCAGTGTCACAGCTCTGCCCCCTTCCTTCGTGGGCCGTCCTGCCACCGCCTCGGCGCCTGGCCGGAAAGTGCGTGTCTGCTCGTGAGCTGTGTGGCATCTCTGGACCTCACGGCCACATGGTGGCCCGTCCTGGAGGCCATCCCGGAGTCAGGGCGGGAGGGTTCGCTGGTGAGGCCCGCCTGCGGGCCTCAGAGGGACACTGCTGCAGGGCTCCCTCCCGACACGCGCTCCACTCACCCCATGTGCTCTGTCCCCAGATGCGGACGCCCGGGCCATTTTGCCCAAGAAGGAGAAACTGAAGCTGAGGCGTGAGAGGTGGCTGCAGAGTAAGTACCTCCCTCGCCTCCCGGCTTGATGCCCCCCCCAGACGGTCCCCGTCCTCCCTGCACCTGCCGCTCTGGGCTCCTCGCGGCGTCGGCTCGTCAGCACGCAAGCGATCCTGCGTGTCGTGAGTGTGTCACCTCAGAGCCACTCAGGGTGTCCGTGAGGTCACCTTCCTGCCAGTGGTGACCTTCCGGACTTTTCTGCGGGCCGCGGCCGCGCGGTCCTTCTCTCTGAGGGCCTCCAGCGGCCGCCTCGCCGCACCCGGTGCCTCTCTGCCCACCAGTCGCCTTTTGGAAGACGGGGTTATTTTTCGTGATGCCGAGTGCTCACTGATGCTCTTCTGAAGGTTTTCTTGTGAGGATTGCTTTGCAATTTGTTTCTTATCGCACCTTTTGAGTATGATTCTGTTGACTTTTGAAAATAATTTGTGATACCCTGTGTATTCTCTCGTGGTTAAAGTTAGTTTTCGTTGGAAGTATCTTTTGTTTATTTTGAGAGAGAGAGAGAGCGCATGTGTCTGGACACACACGTGTGCGGGGGAGGGGCAGAGAGAGAGAGAAGCAGAGCAGGGCGGAGCAGGCTCTGTGCTGTCACCGCGGACCCTGAAGTGGGGCTTGGACCCTTGACCCTGGGATCAGGGCTTGAGCCGAAATCAAGAGTTGGATGCTTAACAGCCTGAGCCATGCAGGCGCCCCTCCTTGAAGGTTTTAAAGAAAACATACTTCTTAAATTTTCTAGAGAAATTTGCCTGTTTCTCCCACAATTATTTTACTTTTTGGTCACTTTGGGGAAGTTCCTTAAGGAAGTGATTCATTCATTGATTTTCTTTGTCACGGTTCCTGGCACGGAGACGTACAGAATATCCTCTGTGTACTAGATTTGGAAAACTGATAGACGGTGGCCACTGGGACCCTGCACGTGTCTGGGCTGCAGCGTTGAGCTGATGTTTAAAATTTTCTTCCCGTGCTGGTCGGTGTCTTTGTCTCACCGCTTGGGTCAGTCTTGGCCACCTGTAGTTTCCCGTAAAACATCTCCTCTAATCCGATCTCTGCCCTCACTAGCAAAGGGCTGCGGGCCCCTCGTCATCAGAGCCCCTGTTCGCTGTCCTGTGTTTGCACCCGTCTTCCATCTCTTCCGTCCCGGGAGTCAGTTCCTGTATTCGCTTGTTACTTCTACTTTCTCTGGGTCTGAATTCTCAGTTTCTGTTGTTTTAACACGCTGTTCTTTCTTTCTTTGAGTTTGAGTTATTTAGCTCATTTGTCTTACAGTTTTGTTCAGGAACGGCGGGCTGTGGTGGTGCCCACGTCACCCCACTCGGTCTTACCTAGTATTCTGTCATGAAAAATGTCACGCAAGAGCAGGGGGAATGTTACGGGGAAACCTGAAACCACCACCTCGGTTTTACGTGGACACTTCTTCTTTCCCACGTCTGCTCGTCTGTCCGTTTCTGTCCGTCTGTCCACCACCCGCATTCTGTGCACAATCCTGAGTGGCAGACGTCAGCACACTTTCTCCCAAATAGTTCTACGGTTCAGCGTCTGTTGATGGTTTTTCATTTTTATTTTGAGGTGAAATTGGGTGCAGTGAAGTGCCAGGCAGCGATTTGTGACCGATGCGCACACGTGTGCAACCAGAGTCCCTTTGAGACACAGAAGGCCACCGTCACCGGCGAGTCCCCGTGCGCCTTCCCATGCAGTCCCCTCGCTCCGCATTCTCGACTACCCTGCAGGTGACCCCTGTCTCATTTCTTTGGAGTCTCACTAGATTTTACCGCTCTAGACGTCACGTACGTGGAATCTCGTAGGACGTGCTCTCTTCGTGTCTGGGTGTCTTTGCTTCACGTGGTGTTTTTGAGAGTCCTCTCTGCTGAGCGCAGCTGTGGCCCGTGCCCGTCTGTCGCTGAGAAGGATTTCTTTATCTGGATGTGCTCTTTGCTACCCACTTTCCTATGGACGGACACCTGGTCTTTTTCTCTTTTTAGCTACCGTGAAAAAGGCTGTGAACATTCTTCACAGGTCTTTTTGTGGAATATGTTTTCATTTCTCGGGGATGAGTAGCTGGGAATGGAACGCGGGGTCATAGGGCAGGTGTATGTTTAGTTTAATAAGCAGCTGCCAGACGTTTCCTAGAGTGGTTGTACACTTACGCTCCCGCCGGCCGCGGAGGCGCGTTCCGCCCGCGCCACGGCTCTGCCAGGGCGCGGCGGCGGCCGAGTGCCAGGCGGGGTGTCAGCCGCTCCTCGTGGCGTTGGCGCTCGTTACCGCCACCGGGCGTCTCGCCGGCCGCTCCCGCTTGCACGGCACGTCCGGTCGTGTGTGGTTTCGTGAGGCTCTTTGCCTTCTGTTCCTGAGCTCCAAGAATTGTTCTTCCGTCCGGGAGGCCAGCCCTGGGTCATGTACACGTGTTGCAGATTTTCTTCCAGACTGTGACTTTCCTGGTCATTCTCCTGACAAGTTTATTGATTTGAGAGACAGACCGCGCGAGTGGGGGAGGGGCAGAGAGAGAGAGAGAGAGAGAGAGAGAGAGAGAGAGAGAATGGATCCCACGCAGGCTCCACGTTACTCGAACCCACCAAACTGTGAGGTCGTGACCTGAGCCAAAATCGAGTCGGACACTTACCCGACTGAGCCACCCAGGCGCCCCAATGATTTAAAAATTTTTATTTTAGAGAGAGAGCGTGCATGCGAGGGGCAGAGAGAGAGGGAATCTCAAGCAGGCTCCACTCGGCGCGGAGCCCAGTGCGGAGCTCCATCCCATGACCCTGAGTGATCTGAGCCAAAACCAAGAGTCGGATGCTCAACCGACTGAGCCACCCAGGTGCCCCATCAGGCTAGTTTTCAATTAAACCATTTAGGATAAAGGAGTGACAGTCTCTGGGAACCTTCCAGAGCCAGCCAGGGGGGAGCGGTAGGGGCAGGAGGAGCCTCCTACCTACCCCCAAAACACTCAGAACTTGCTGCTCTAGACCACATAGTTGGTAGCATGGACCTTTCCCTGTCCGTCTTTGCTTATGAGCGGGCCGGCCGTGAGACTGTTCCTGGGGGACAGGCATCAGCGTGTGGTCTGTCAGGCCCAGCACCCCCAGAAGGGTTTACTTGGAGAGAAGTCCGTCAAGGGGGCTATCTCCAGCCTAGGTACAAAGATGTCGGAGCCCGTGAGGGGAGGGGAGGCCCCGACCCGCCTGCCTGGAAGGAAGAAGGGTGGCTTCGACGCCAGAAGAGGGCATGGCAGGGTCCAGGCCTCGGAGGACACTCCGGGGGGGCACCTCTGCCTCCCTCCCTGTGCGGCCCCGTCTCTGGCTGGGAGACGGGAGCGACCCTGGGGCTCAGCGCAGAAGCAGGGGAGAGCCGGCTGGGCGGGGACCGTGGGGACGGCGGCGAGGTCGCCCCTGCCGAGAGCTGCCGGCCTGGAGCGCCTGTGCTGAGCCGCTTGGCACGGAACTGACACCCCCTTAAATTCACTGTTCTCACTCCCTGAGCCCCCGGGCTGGAATGAAAGGGCACCCAAATCTGAGGATAAGGTAATGTTTCAGCCCCACGTGAAAAAGTTACAGAGCTGTTTAGGTAACACGGGCAAAGCCGAAGACCGCATTCACTGCCAAGTTCCATACGGGGGTAACCGCCGGCTGGTGGTGCAAGATTAAAGTCGCACACATTTTTGTATTTACCTGGGGTGTGTGTGTGTGTTCGTGCGTGTGTATGTGCGTGCACGCGTGTACATCAGTGCCTGGCGCCTGTGTTTTCTGGCTTTACGTTTCTGTTTGTTTTATTTGTCGTGTTTCATTGTTGCTTAGTTTTTGGGACAGCAGGTGGAAGGCTGCCCTTCACACCTGCCCGGTGACGCCACACTGTTGGGATTTCTGTCACTTCACAGTTTGCTTCAGTGTCCGGGAGGCCTACTGTCTTGTTGCTTGTTCTTCTAAAAAACGTTTGGCTACTCTTACCATTCAGTTCTCTTAAAAACGAGATTTGGGGGTGCCTGGGTTGCTCAGTTGGTTGAGCATCCGACTCCTGATTTTGGCTCAGGTCATGATCTCCTGGTTGAGATCAAGCCCTGCATTGGGCTCCACGCTGAGCCTGCTTGGGATTTTCTGTCTGTCTCTCTCTGCCCCTCAACTGTTTGTGTGAGTGTGCACACCTGCTCTCTCTCTGTCTCTCTTAAAATTAAAAAAAAAAAAAAAAAATCTAGGGGACGCCTGAGTGGCTCAGTTGGTTGGGCATCCGACTTCGGCTCAGGTCCGACTTCGGCTCATGGCTCGTGAGTTCAAGCCCCATGTCGGGCTCTGTGCTGACAGCTTGGGGCCTGGAGCCTGCTTTGGATTCTGTGTCTCCCTCTCTCTCTGCCCCTAACCCACTTGCATTCTGTCTCTGTCTGTCTCAAAAATAAATAAACATTAAAAAAAAAATTTTTTTAAAAATAAGATTTGGAATTAGTTTGGTGGGTTGATTGGGCCGGCCGAGCTCTGCCCTATGGGTTCTCACTGCCGCCCACCCTCCCTAGGTGCTGAGCTGCCCATGACAGATTGGTGTGGGGCTTCTGATGTTTTGCCAGAGAATATGAGGTTTCTGGTAGATAATCTCCTGCCAAATTAGAGAATGTCCTTCCGTTCACGGCTCAATTATAACTTTTACGGTGAGTGGATAGTGAGTTCTTTTTTGTTTAATTTAATAGAAACTTTTTAATGTTTATTTTTGAGAAAAAGGGAGAGAGTGAGCGGAGAAGGAGCAGAGAGAGAGAGGGAGACACAGAATCGGAAGCAGGCTCCAGGCTCCTAGCTGCCCGCACAGAGCCCGACGCGGGGCTTGAACCCACACACTGCGAGATCGTGACCTGAGCTGAAGTCGGACGCTTAACCGACTGAGCCACCCAGGTGTCCCCAGGATAGTAAATTCTTGCATCTTCCTTTTGGCATTTCTTATAGCGATGGTGGCCTTTCTGTTGAAGCAGACCGCTGCAGACCCCCTGGCAGACGTCCCTGCGTCGAATCACCCTTGGTGCGCCTCGGACACGCTCCAGCTAGTTAACACGTGTTACTAATTTAAAGCATTTCCACTTGGATTTGCTAATGTCTGTGCAGCCGTGTGTAGGTGTCTTCCCCGGAGCCTCGGGCCTGTGCTTTGCTGCCCTCAGTCCCGGTGCCGGTCTGTCAGCACGCCCGCCCTGGCCTTTGCAGCCGTCCTAGGATGTTTGCCTCCCGGAGAAGCAGCGCCTGGTTAGATGGGACCTCAGTAAATTGTTTATCCTCTCCCTGGCAGGATGGGAAGTACCGACCTGTCCCCTTGTGATCCTGACGGTCCGGAGCGTTGAGGGGCGGCCATCCTTGTCCCCCGGAGCCCAGCTCTTCGGGGCAGGGAGAGCAGCCTCACTCCCCAGGGCCCCCTGGGCTCTCTGGGACCCTGGTTGGGGGCAGCTTGCGTGTCTCTGACTTTGGAGCAGGCGGGGTGGGCTCTTCAGAGCTGGCCCCGGACATCCGAGGGACTTTGGGGTGCGCGGCGCTGCCCTGGTGCCATGGGCTCGGAGGGGGCCGGCTCCTGTGTCTGTGGACGGAGCCTCCCTTAGTGCTTGTCCCTGGCAGGTGGGTGCTTGCAGTTTCTAGAAACGATTTCTGTGCAGAGGCTTCCTGGGGCCCCACTATATCAACTCCCCTACATGGGGACGCACTTCCTCCCTCCCGGTCCCGAGAGGCACTTGGAGAGCACAGGAGATGTGGCCCTGCCGTAGGTGACTCACTGTTTAAATCCTTGTCCGTTTGCCCGCTTCTGACTGCACATCCCTGCTCCTGCCCCCAAAAGGCACAGGCCGCCGTGCTAGTGTCCCTTTTCAGAAGGAGAAGGCCTCCGTGCCTGCAGTTCAGTCTCGTCATTCTGCCATTAGGAATTGTGCCTCTGTGACGGGGTGCCGGCCTGCCCCCGGGCTCCCGGGGTGCCGGCAGGAAGGAAGCTGCCCATCCTTCATTCTCTGTTTCTCTCACTGACCTCACGTCTCCTCTTCCCCAGAGATTGAAGCCATAAAGCTGGCCGAGCAGAAGCGCAAGGCAGAGCGGAGACGGAGGGCCACGGTGGTGGTGGGGGACCTGCAGCCCCTGAAGGACGCCCTCCCTGAGCTGCTGGAGCTGGAGGCCGGTGGCCGGCGGCCGCGTTCTGCAGGGTGAGCGTCTGTGTGTGGCTGCCTCGGGAACTTGAGGCTGCGAGGCCGGGCCGGGGGCCAGAGCGGGAGAAGAAATGGCGGAGGGGAGGGGTAGGCAGGCAAAGGCCCCAGAGAGGCCTGGCCCGGTTGTTGATGCAGAAACGCTTGCTTCCACGGGCCCAGCCGCGAGGTCAGCAGGGGGTGGGGCCTCCCTTGGCCAGCACGTCGAGGAGGGGCGCCTGCCGGCCGTTTGGGCCTCAGAACGGCTTCGCCGGGAGGGCTGCTGCATGGGGGGCGGGGTGTCCCTCCTGTACCGCTGCTGGGCTCTGTTCCCCGTGTGCCCTCTGCTTCACTCCCCAGAGACGCAGCCTGGCACCGTGCCCCCTGCCTCTGGTACCCCGTCTGAGACGCACACGTCCCGGTAGCGCTTCCTGCCGCCCTGCTGTGCGTGCTCTAGAGAAGCCGGTCCCTCTGCTGTCCCCTCCCCGCTCATAGGCTGGAGGGCGGGGGGCGTCAGGCCGTGTGCTCAGGGCCACTCGGCTGTAGAGCCGGAAGCTCCCAGGCCACCTCCTGGGACGGAAGCACCTAGAGCGTTCGGTCCGGCAAGGAGTCGGGTGGCCATCACCCCTGCGGCCGCAAGCTTTGCCTTGGGTCCCTGTACTCCCTCCCGCCCGGTTGTGCCTGGCCGGGAGCCCCCAGCCCCATCTCGCCAAGAGCAGGCCCAGCCCATCAGCATTCATCACAGGAGGTGTCCGGGCCTCTTCCTGGCCTTCTGTGGCCGGATTCCTCGGAGCCCGGGAGGAGGCCGTGCTGCTGGGGTTAGGTCCCCCCGGTTGGGTGACTTCAGAGGGTGTGGACGGCACAGATGGCTCCGTGACTGCTCTTGTCCCCACCCTCTGGGCAAGTCCCAGAGTCCGGGTCGGACAGGACGTGGTGTGGGGATGGCCTTGGCACCCTGGACACCCAGACCTGAACGCAGGGGTCCCCAGGCACCCACTGGGACACACTGACCGAGGCCCCGGGCCACTCCAGGCTTGTTCCACATCCGTGATGTGGCCTCCCGGGGCGATGGCAGCAGGGAGCCCGGGGCTTGGGGCTTTTGGAGCATGCCTACCCCTGGCCGTGTCCCAGCCTCCATCCGTGTGGGCGCCACAGAGGGCTCCTGACACGAGCCAGCACGCAGACGGTCGACAGTCCTGCTGCTCCTTGGGAAGGTTAGCTTCTCTAGAAATCAGTCCTCTGGGCAAGAGAGTGTCAGGTGAAGGTCGTATTTTCCGTTCTGACGAACCGGGTGGGGAGCCCCATGCAGCCGAGCCACCGGGCCAGCGGGCACAGGGGCGAGGCCGCCCATCCGCGGGACTCCGTCGGGTCCGGGTGGCCTTGGGCATGTCTTGAGGCTGCTGCCGCCGCTACCCTGGAGCGGCCCCCGGCTGGTGGCTGCTGCTGGAGAGCTGGCTAGAGGTGGCAGCATGGCTCCACTGGCCGCCCCCCCCCCCCCCCCCCCCCCCCCCCCCCCCACCCCCACCCCCGCCGGGTGGACTCGGGTTCGCTCGCTGGGCTATGGGTTTACGCAGGAGTCTGTGTGTTCCCACCGGCGTCGTTTGGTGTTTCTTCCACACACTTGGTTTCCGAGGCCCCTGGGGGCCGGGCGTGCCCTGTGGGCTCACCCGTGGCAGGGGAGTGACAGCAGTGAGGGTGGACGTGCCGGGGGTCACCCGCCTTGGGACTGCGGGCCTGGCTACCCGGAGTTTGCCAGGAAAGCATTTGCCTGTTTGACAGGGAAACTGAGGCTTCAGGGCTACAGTGGTTTTCCCAAGGTTTATGCTGGGTCAGCCGATGTCCAGAGCCACTGCCTCCAGTGCCGGTGAGGCTGGGGTCACCTGTGCGGGTACCTGAGCAGCGAGCCAGGCTGTGTGCTCTGAGCCGCACGGCATTCCCGCCGGGGGTGGGGGGTGGTCTCAGTCCAGCCACCATCTGCTGTGCTCGGTCTGCAGCCAGAACCAAGCTCGGAGGCCACGAGTGAGTTGGCTGCCCTTCTACGAGCTCTCTGCCTTGGTCATTTCAAAGCAGACCAAGGCCCGGACCTGTGTGGACAGAGGGGACAGGACTGAGGGGTTGGCTGGGTTTGTGCTGGGGTGTTGGCTCTGCTCACCCCGATGGCCTTGGGGATTCACCCTGTCTGCCTTTGTCCGCAGGACGGGAGCCTCCCCCCGGGAGCTGCTTACCGGGGTCCTAGCCGTGCCCTGAGGCTCGGTGACCATCTTGGCCTCCCACCTTGCTAGGGGGGTCACCTGGCCCACGGACACCGAGGGGACTCCCAGATGTGTCTCTGCTGGCAGAGCTGGAGGGCTGTGGGAAGCATCAGTGGATTTTACCATTTTACAGACCTTGGGTGGCCCAAGGCCTGGGATGCCGGCCCGTTCTGCGAGGGGTCTGCTCCCGGGTGAATGCAGGGTCAGCAGCGAGAGGAGCAGAGCCGAGGTGGCCTGGGGCAGAGGGTGACTCGGGAAAGCCTGGCCGTAGGCTCGGAGTCTGGGACGGGCCCTTGGGGATGCACGTGGCCGTCTTGGCGGCCCTGCCTGAGAGCGGGCACTCGAGTCAGCGTGAGTGAGAGGAGAGGCGGGTGCAGGTGCTCTCTTAGGCTCAGGAGACAGGTCTTTCATTCATATTTTATCAGAAAACATGAATAAAGAACGAGGCCTTCTGGTCTAGAGGCTAAATTTAGGTGTTGGCTCCGGGCTCTGGTTTTCTCGCCCTTCTTGCCGCCCGCCACGTAGACGTGTCTCTTGGTACCGGTTCCCCAGGGAGATGGGCTGCGCTGGGTCCTGTGGGGAGTCCCACGGTGAGAAGGGGTCCAGGGTCCCCACGCTGACCTGCTTCTCTGTGTCCCCAACAGGGTGAGGGTGAGCAGGAGGCCCCGGCCCGCCGAGTTGAGCCGCATGAGTGCCGCGCAGAGGCTCCAGCTCCTGTGAGTAGGGCCCACCCGCAAGTGGGGCTCCGCCGCTCCCAGCCCTCTCCTCCCGTCATGCCCCCCGTGCTGTCCGCTGTCCGGCCCGGGTCCGCCCGGGCACCGCGGACCGCTTGGCGTGCGGCACCCTGTTTCCAGCTGGGCTGGGGGCCCCTTCCGTGGGCAGCAAAGGGAGTGGAAGCTACCAGAACCAGCGCTGCCAGCCCTTGGGGGGTTCCCCGTTGGAGCCCAGGGCCCCCGGCCATCCCGGGCATCGGGAGCGGACACCTGGCTTGGGCAGTCGGTCCAGAGGGGGCGGTCTCCCTGACGACAGCCAGGAAGGCACCTTGAGGTTTGGCCTTGCCTGTCCTGCCCCCACCTGCCCCAGGCCGGGCGGCCCCTGCTGCGACACATCCCCCCCCCTGCCCAGACTGCTTCTGGAACTGCCATCCTGAGGTTTCGGACCGGGTCCCCTTAGTTTCCGTGCAGAGGTGACGTCCCCCAGGGGTGCCCACCAGACTCGAGCTGGCCCTGGCGCATCTGAGAGGGGCTGGCTGGGCTCAGAGACCGGCGGGGGGGAGGGCGGCAGCCACCACCTGGACTCGGGGGGCCCCAGACCCCCACCCCCGGAGGAAGCCGTCCCGTCTCCCATTGCACCTCTGTCGCCACGGCGCCCTCTGCGAGAAGGGCCGGTCTCGGGGCTGAAGTGGGTGCGAGCCCCAGCCCGCGATCAAGTGATTCAGCAGAGCTGGGAGGGGAGGCTTCTGAGGTAGTAGGACATGTCAGAGCTCATGGGAGACTATATTGTACTTATTGCCTGTCTCTGATATTATTGATACACCAGATGGAGGATGACAGAACAGAGTCTGTCTGAGGGAGGGAATGCCTGCAGGCACATTCCATTTAGAGACGACCACCTAGTGAGCCCCCCCTCAGCCACCTCCCCGTGGTGACCCTTAGGCCCCAGGTGCTCTGTCCCGGGGTAACCCCTGGCCTGGCCCGCCCGCTCCAGTGTCCAGCCCCGCCCGAGGTGCCTGAGTATGGGGTGGCTGAGGGGAGGCGGTGCCGACGCCCGTCCCTAGCACCCCACACCGAGGTGTTTCGGGGTTCGCTGACCCGCTCTGATCTCCGTTCTTTCAGCGAGGAAGAAAGGGCCCGGTTTCGGGAGCTGCTGGCCAGTCCGTCCTACAGGGCCAGCCCCTTGCTGGCCATCGGGCAGCAGCTGGCCCAGCAGATGCAGCTGCACGGAGGCGGCCAGCTCTGACCCGGTCCGGAGGCGTGCCGTGAGCCCCGAGGACCCGCCCCTGCGGTCATCGCCTTGAACCCGGCGGCAGTGCCCACCGTGAGGATGAGCTGTGGCGTGACCTCGGGCAGTGGGCCTGCGGGCTTCCTTCCAGGCTGCTCTTGGGCTTTTCTGGGCCGGCCGACCGGGATGGCACGACCTACCGCCCGGCAGGCGTCAGGATCCCGAGACGCGGCCACGTTGCTCCGTGCTTCGGGAGCGCTTGCCGCCCTCCCGGTTCCCGGGGGCTCGGATGGAACATCTCCTGTCTGCTTCTCCCGTTTTGTCTCCGTGCCGCTCCCCCGGCCCTCTCCCCGCTGTGGCCCCGAGCCCAGGTTGCTCCCTTCCACCTGCTCTTGTGGTTAAGGGGAGCAGGGCCGCTGCTGTCCATCAGCCTGGACGCGGAGCACAGGCCTGGTCCCGCCCTGCGGCGGCTGACCCGAGAGCAGGATGGGTGTTTATTGTGAGAAACCTGGGGTTTGGAGGCCGGACTGTGGGAAATCAGACTTAAACCCTTGATTCGAGGATGTGGAGGGGGCTGCTTTTCTGGCCAGAGGCCCCGAGCTCGTGGATGTGCGGCTCAGAGGCCTGGGCCCCCGCGGCGGCAGCTCTGGGCCCAGGACGGGGCCTGGGTACCAGTGCCCCTCACAGGCGGGCGGCAGCCTGGGCGTGCTGCCTCTGCGTCCGGGCGCCAGGCCAGTCTGGGCCCTGTGGCTGATCTGTTCCTGACCTCTAGTGGCGTGGCCGCCGTGCTCACGACACACAGACACCTCAGCAGTGTCCGCCGAGCCTGTCCAGGAACGGATGGCTGAATGGAATCGGATCCTGGACCCCTTCTCTGCACAAGAGCACACGGTGTGGACACATCACAGGGACAGGACACAGAAGGGACAGATAAGACCACAGAGGCTGCAGGTGGCAGCCGAGTCCCCTCAGCCAGAGGTCAGTGTGGTCATGTCGCCAGGACCGCCAGGCCCTAAGGGACGGGACGGTCTTGTTCTCAGCACAGAAACCAGTTCTCCGTAAGTGAGACAAGCTGTTTACAAAGTGGTATTTGTGACAAACTCGTTTCTGCAATAAAATCACTGCTGGGAACAAGAGTGGGGCACTGGCCGCCCGGGAGACGGCGCGGATGCCTGGGCGTTTCCCCATCACGCCTTTCTGTGTTGTCTGCGTTTGGTGACAGTGGCCGCAAGCCTCTTCTTACGTGTTGTCTGGGGAGAAAATCTCCGTCCTGGTCCCGCAGCAAGTCCCGTCTGACCACGGCTGGGCCTGCTCGCCCCCTCGTGCCCTTATCAGGCCCTCCCCCTTGGCCGCTCTGAGAGCACGAGCTGTGGGTAAGGGAGAGGCCGGAGGGAGGCTGGGTGGGCTCCCCGCGAGGAGGTGAGGTCCGTACGCTGCCCCTCCCGCCGACCTCAGGACTCACCCCAAGGAAATGGGCTGAGAAACCTCAAACATGTGGGGACAACCCCCCCTCCCGAGCAGAGTACCAGAGACCCCAATGACGGCTGCTGCTCAGATGATCGGGGGCTCGTGGGGTTGGAAACGGGAGCTCCAGTCCTGCAGGCGCCCCCCCGGGTGTGGCCTCCCGGGTGTGGCCAGATGCCTGGCCTGAGTGGGACGGGAAGCTTCCAGCCACCGCTCTGCCGTTTGTTGCAATGGGCGTGAGTTACTGGGTGGTGAGTTTAGGTGGAGACACGGAATAGACCAGCACTTTGTGCATCTTAAACCCTGTGCGCTTCGGGCGCGTGGGCCGACGGCTCTGGGACCTGCCTTCAGGGCCCTCGCGGAGCGCTGGCTGGGGACTGTGTCCTTAACTAGGCGCACCGTGGGCCCCACAGAGCTGGCCGGTGTCCCTACCCCCCGTGCCTATTGTCCAGGTGCACAGCACCAGAACCAGTGGGGGAGGGGACAGAGAACATGCCGCCTAAGCACGGTGCCAGGCTGGAGCCGTGAGCCCGTTGTAGGCCTTGTCCCTCTGAGTCCAAGGGCTCCTCTCCAAGCCCCTGACTGTCCCTTTTCCCTGATGGGCCCTGCCTGCCCTGTCCCCAGGCTCACCTCTGAAGCTTTCCCTGGTGAGGAGGCCAAGGGACCGTTACCTCCCCTGGCCCCCAACCAGAAATCTTCAAGACCCCCTTTTGCACTCCCGTGACCCACCTGGATCTGCCTTCCCCATTAAACACCCCCCTCTTTCTCTTCCCTTCTTGTTGCTACAGTTGCTGTCCCATTCTTTTGGTGGACATGTGTATCAGTTACCAACTGCTGTGATCGCCGAATAACGAACATTCCCCAAACACATACAGCCGGGTGTTTTCCCCACAAGTCTGGGCCAGGCTGGGCTCTTGCCTGAGGCACCCGCTGAATTTGTTTCCTAGGTAACAGATTACCAGACACGTGACTTCAAGCTCCAGAAGCCTATTCTCTCCTGGGAGGCTGGAAGTCGGGTTGGTGCTGGCAGGGCCATGCTGCTCCAGAGACCTCCACGTGGGGGGACGTCTTTGCCTTTTCCAGTATCTGCGGTTTGCCAGTGACTCTGGCGTCTCTAGGCTGGTGGCCGCCCAGGGACTCTCCTTGTCTCTGCCTTCACATGCACCCGTGGGTCGGGGCCCACCCTCCTCCAGAATGATCTCAGCTCAATTCACTCATTGCACAGATTCCATTTCCAAATACAGTTACGTTCTGAGGCTCCAGGAAGACGTGAATCTGTGGAGGTGCACTCGGCCAGGAGGCTGGTCTGGGCACCAGGGTTCTCAGAACCCCCAGCTGAATAGAGGGTGCACGTCCAGAGTCCAACACCGCTCGTGAGGTGGGGCGGGGGAGCGCTGGGCGTGGGGAGACTGGGGCGGGGTGTTGACACAGGAGAGGGGACAGCAGAGCTCTGAGCAGGAGCTGCGTGCGGGCTGGGCTTCCTTATTTGGTGGAGAGGGTCCCCCTCCACGCCACGCCAACCCACGCCACGCCGCGTTCTCCCTTCCTGCACGTGCCCTGCCCCGTGCTTCCCCCTCGTGTTCTCTGTGCTTTCTTTCCCGGGGATCGAAACTCCAGGGCAGCGTTTGCTCTGACCGCTTGGGTCGGTGTCACCCGGGGCTGCGCAGCCTGGTGGCAGCACATCGGATGAATGAATGTCTGAGTGGATGTGTGAGGGGCAGGACGCGGTGGGCCTGTGTGGGCCCAGGTGACTAAGCCCAGGGTCTCCACGTGGTGTCCAGCTGGGGGGGGGTTCCTCGGGACCCCGACTCACAAGTGCCCGCAGCACATCCCCTCCGTGTCCCTCACTGTGCCTTTGCAACCCTGCTGGCCTGCTCCGGGGCGGGGGGTGGTGAGGAGGAAGGGGTCGGTGTGAATGCGTGGCCCCCAGGGTCTGTGAGACCGCCGCAAGCAGGCCGCCAGGGCCGGCTCCTACTCGGGTCATTCTCGGGTACGTGGATCGCTGGACTGCAGATTGCTGGGCCCTGTCTACAGGGAGCTCGCCAGGATGGGCCCGGGTCTGGTCCTGGGCAGACGGTGACGCATGAGCCTGACGCCGGCCCCGAAGCCTCTCTGCCAGCTTGCGTGCGGTCGCAGGCCTCGGTGGTGCTTCGGGGCCTTTGTCTTGGGCACGGAAGGGCGTCGGTGCTGGCAGCCTCTGCCGGGGTGGTGAGTCAGGCGCCGGCAGCCGTGCCTGTCAGGGTCCTGTGTTGCCTGGAAGTCAGGTGTTTAGCAAACTGCTTTTGGAACGTTCTTGGTGCAGCCATGGCACCCGTGACGGCTGCCTGGGCTGATGTCACTGTGCTGCGATGTGGGGGCTCAGCCCCTGCTTGGCCCCAGTGGGTTGGTGGCCTCCACCCCGTGACCCGGGCTTTCCAGGGTGCTGCCGTCGCCGCGTGTCTCCAGGCTATCGGGAGAGCTGGCTGGCTTGTGGAGATAGCAAGACGCCAGCCTTCCGGCTCTTTCTCTGATGTCGCGTTCCCCGGGGCAGCGAGTCTCCTGCTTCTGGACCCCAGGCCCTCGGCCTACGTGAACAGCGTCCTTGTTTTGAAGTCAGACTCCATCAACTGCATTTTCTTCTAAAGGCCCTAAAATAACGTAGGGTAAAGTGATAATTAGACACGTGTTCCTGATGTTGGCTCGTGTTTCTCAAAGCTCTGCTGAGATCGGGAAATGTCATTTGCCGGGTCCATGGGAGAAAATCAGAGATTACTGGTGTCTTTGAATTCAGATGTGTCTTCTGGTTGCTCCTGGGCCAAGAGTCTGCAGGGCCTCTTGCCAGGCCTTGTCCTTTCTTGTTCCTCTGGTCACAGGCAAGCTGAGCCCTGACTCAGGACCTCCTCTGCAGAGGGAAACTGAGGCCCGGAGAGGGCAGTGACCCCGTGGTTGGGGCTGCAGCTGGAGCTGGGGTATCCGCTGCTTGTCCTGCGGAGGCAGATGTCCTCAGAATGCAGAGCTCCTGCCACCCCGGGACCCCACCCCTGCCTCTGACCTCTGCCCTCAGTTCGGGTTCAGTTCCCAAGCACAGGGCTCGGGTGCCCTGGGAGGGACAGCGCCCTGCTCCCTGCTCTGGTGTCTGGGTTTCTTACACAGCGGTAATTATTCCCACCTCTGGTCCCACCTCCAGTCTCCTAGGTTGGGAGCGGACTCTAATTACATAACGGTGTTTGATTAGAGAATCTGCCCTGGTCAGCTCTCGGGCTCTGGGCTCCTGTGTGAACAGCCTTTCCACTGCCTTCTGCAGACGCCTCCCGGGCCCTGGCCTGCTGACCCAAGTGCCACCCAACATACTGATGAGCCCCGTGTCCTCTGGCCTGCCACCTGGCGGGGTTCACCCCCAGCTCTCATTCACCCCGCCAGCCCTTCTGCCCGAGTCTGTGGGCAGTTCCACACACTGGCACACAGGAAGCTTAGTCTGCTGGGGACGGGCACGGTCCGCTGTAAGCTCCGTGGGGTCCCTGGGGCCACCGGAGTCTCCAGGGGAGGGGCTGGCTGCCTTCCAAGCAGTGGGAACA